AGAGAAATTCGAAACCGTAATGGTGCCAGTGCCATTAGAAATGCCTCCCTTGAGGGAGGTGAACCATCGAATCCCATTGAAGGATCTGAACAAGAAATTTTGGGAAAACACCCCGAGATGTCCTGCAGCACTGCAGGAAGCACTAGCAACCAAAATAGATCACTATGTAAAAGCAGGATGGTGGTATCCCATGAACAGCGAGTGAGCATGCCTGCTACTGTGTATCTGCAAAGCAGATGGATTTTTATGCATGGTAATAGATGTGAGGAATCGTAACTCAAACACGATCCTCGACATCACACCAATGCCAGACATGCGACTGATCCAAGATCGATATGTTGAACGCATATGAACAAATATGCGTGGATCCAGATGACATCCATAGGATGATATTCTCTATGCCCCACAGGATGTACAACTCAAACACGATGCAGCAAGGAGACTGCAACGCTCCCTGTACTTTCCAGTGCATGCTGACCTGGGAACTACAAGGAGAAGTAGGCAGATGCCTACACGTCTGGTTCGACGATATATTCACCAGCACAAGCTCGGTGGAGAACCACAATAAAGCATTATTGTGGTTGTTCACTCGCCTCAAGGGGGCAAAATTCTACATAAGCCGGAAAAAATTCCAGCCATTTGCTCCAATCCTAGACGTTCTAGGAAGCCACATGGACGAACAAGGCATCCACACCCAAGTGGATAAAATGGAAAAAATCCACAACTGGCGAGAGCCAGTAGACCACACAGGAGTCCTAAGATTCCTGGGAATGGTAGAATATCTATCGATATTCATGCCAAACATCAGTGGCTACACAGGACCACTGCAAAAAATCTGCTCAAACAAGCAGACATTCAGGTGGACACCACTCCACCAGAAATGCTTTGACGAGATCAAACATCTAGCATGCAGGGCTCTGATCCTGAAGCCTGTCCAGTGAAATCCACTGGAAAGCCTCTCAGAAGAAGAGAGGAGCAAACTCCACATCTGGGTCATAACAGACACATGCCCAGCAGGCATGGGTGCACTAATTGGACAAGGCGAAAAGTGGCAGACTTGCTGCCCAGCCGCATTCATGTCCAAAAAGTTCACCAACACACAACATAGGTACTTCGCCTACGAGCTCGAGGCACTGGGCATCCTCGAAGCACTCATGAGATGGCAAGACGATCTCATGGGAGGCTGTGAATTCACAGTAATCACGGACCACAAAGCTTTGGAATATTTCAAAGCGAAAAACCACAACTCAGGTAGACACCTGAGATGGCAAGCCTTCTTTGCAAGCTTCAATTGTGAAATAAAATACATGGAAGGCCAGTGGCAGATGCACTCTCATGGTACTATGACTCATCAATGGACAAGGATCTGCATTTCGATGACTATGTGTCGGTGGACATCCATCTGGACAAAAATGCAGAAGATACTATCCCTGACAGAATTGAGGAATACAAAGAACTGCTGCTAAGCAGTGCCCTGAGTAAAAACTCAGAGAGAAAGAGACTCGCAGCAATATGTGTGAGAAATACCCTAGAGGAAGCTCTAGGGGGGAGTGCCCAAAACCTGGAAGAAATCATAATTCCAGAAGAGAACCTTCGAAAACAATTCAAAGGAAAAGACCTCATTGAGGCAATAAAATCTGGATACTCGCAAAGCCAGATCCACCGGGAAATCCTAGAGAACCTGGGGAATTTCAAAAACTTCTCCATAAAAGATGGGCTGATAACCCAACTTGGAGAAGGAGGAACAACCCAAATAGTAGTCCCAAAAGGGAACTACGAAAGGAAGTTGATGAGGAAGGATACCCACAAGTTCTGCAGGTCTTGTGGAACTTGTCAAACAACAAAGAAAAGCACCAGGAGAAATCCCAGACTGCTTCACCCACTCCCGACCCTGGAGACACCATGGTCATCAATAGCCATGGACTTCACAGGTCCATTCCCAACAAGCTTGGGATATGATTACCTCTGGGTAATCATTTGTAGGTTGATGTCCAACATCCACCTAATTCCAATAAAAACAACAACGAACACATTAGAACTAGCGTTCGTATTTCTTTGTGAAGTTGTAAGACTCCACAGTCTACCACACTCAATCATATCAGATCGAGACTCGAAATTCACGTCAAAATTTTGGCACGAACTACACCGAATACTCGGTGTGCAGTTGAAATTCACAACTGCATTCCACCTGCAAGGCAATGGCCAAGTGGAAAGAATGATACAAAAAGTAGTACACATACTACGTGCAATGGTTAGACCAAATCAATGCAACTGGGCAGCGAAACTGTTGATGGTGGAATTTGTGATCAATGTGAGCTCAAACACATCGACAGGATTTGCCCTGTTCGAATTAATCTATGGCCATATGCCAAAGATGTGCCTAACAGCACCACCCTCGGACTACCCAGGAGTAAATGACTTCACCCAAAAGGCAAAGGAAAACCTCATGGCAGCACACGACGTGATAATACACAATCACGCCACTCAAACAATCCAGGCGAATAAGAAAAGACGCCCGGACCTGCCTTTGAGAAAAGGTGAGCTTGCATACTTATCCACAGATAAGCTGAACCTACCCAAAGGAAGGGCAGGAAAACTAAAGCCCTTATACATAGGGCCTTACAAAATTCTGGAAACATTTCCAGAGACGTCAAACTACGTCCTCAAGTTGCCACCACAACTTGAACAACACAGAATCCACCCAAGATTCCACATATCCCAGCTCATACCTCACGAGCCAAATGACCAAGAAATCTTCCCAAATAGGGAAGTAAACATATTCTATGATTTTGGGGAAGACCCTGATCGTGAAGCAGTAGTTCGCAAAATCTTAAACCACACGTGGGTTCACAACAAACTCTGGTTTAAGGTTAAATGGGAGCTAGGGGACACCACATGGGAACCCCTAGGAAATTGCAATGACCTTGTCCACCTGGATGAGTACCTCACATTACAAAATGTGAGGGAACCAGAAAAACTCCCTATCAAAGAAGACAGGGAACTCTCAGCATCACTACACCCCCAAAAACAGAGGCAGAGGAAGTAAAGCCGAGGGACGATGGCCCACAGCCAAGAGCATGGGAAAGTTCTGGGCGAGCAACTTGCCCGGACAGCCACACCATGTACTAGAGATCACATGGGCCAGGCAAGTAACTTGCCTAGACCACGTGAACCACAGGCTCATGTGTAAAAGCTGTTGATGAGCGACACTTGTGATCTCGGAGCTGGACTATGAGTAATGACTCAGTCTCAGCAAATATGCATGAAGAACTGATTGTATTACCTATAAGCGTGAAGCTAGAGGTAATGTACATAGTGTAAGTTACAATAGTAAATGAAACAGTAATAAAGGACTGTTGTAACTAACCTCAGTCTCAGCTAATATGCGTGAAGAACTGAGGGAAAAGGAAATGAATTCAAATGAATGAATATATCCGTGGCCTGGCACGGGTTAGTCCGAAATAATATAAAAGAGGTGTTGTGAGTTCCTCCAACAAAAGCACACACAACTGTGGCAAATCCCATGCATGCAAGAACAAAAACCCCTCCCACCACCATGAGAAACATAACAATGAAATGTCATTCTCTGGGGGAGGCAACCCTTGGTTCAATCCAAAAAAGCCACCGGACATCGAAATATGACAACCCAGGGAGCAAGGCTCCCCAGAACAACAATAACACCAGGTGCAGATAAGTGCCATGGACTACACAATGCACACGGCACAAATGAGTGCTGCAAACCAACAACCATCCGTGTTGCCAACAGGCACTGCATACCCCCAACCTCCTCAGAGGGGCTTCCAACCATACACGGTGCAAACTGCACCGATGGCACAACAAGCGCCATTCCAGGGGCAGCATTTGCTGCTGCAGCCCCAGGTATACTCCCCAGGGAACTTCCCTGGCCAGATCAACCCCTGGATCGGCCAATTCAGCCCAGGTCCAACAACACCCCAGCCAAATGCAGGCTGGGAATCAGCTATCGCATCAGCGGTAGCTGCTCAGACAGGTCAGCTCCGCGAGGAGCTGAAAGAGATGAAGTCCCTCGTAGGAGGGAGATGAGGGAGTGACAGTGGCTCCTCGTCCAGACCGTCCAAACGGGCACGGTCTGATAACTCGAGGGCACTGGGGGACATATTTAGGTTTACTCTCAGATGCATGGGCGCTATTCATTCGATTCCGAAGCTTCAGGTCCGCTATTGTATGATTGCCTGGGAGGTCGGGGTTGGGCTTGATTACGACCTCTCGATTCCTGAAGCAACGCCTGGATGATCAGGCTCCCAGTCTCCATTGGAATAGAATGATCCCCCGATAGAGGCTGGAACGTGTTTACGTACTCTTCCTTTCAGTGATGGAGCGCGACTACTTAGAACAGATACTGCTTCTTCGGGCGATGTCTCTCGTCATGCCTCCTTTCCACATCTGTGCGCCAGAATCAGCTGAGGAGCGCAATTCAGATTGCATGGGCTGCCGAGGCACCCTCGCTCATTGGTGTCCCATCTCTCCCTCATAGACAGCGCGCTATGTGTGAGGATTTAAATACGTATGTCTTCTGCCCTGCTCGTGTACCCCCAAAAGTCTCCAACCCGATTATCATTAAGTAAACAGTGATCTGTCAATCAGTCGTCCCCCTCAGGATGGAACCACATTCTGATCGTCAGTGATGGCTCGTTTGAAGTCGCATTGATATTAAGCCTCATGTTTTAAAGGTCAAAGTATGACTCTGTCCCAAGAGAGTCTCGTAGCGTCGCAATCGAATTCTCCGGCCAACACACTTAGAGGAGCGCGTCACCATTCAGCTGATACACGACATCAAAATTCCGCACCTAAGCGGCGTCCCCCTGCCCTTCCTGGGATATATGAACGGCCATCGCAGGAGGTGAGAGAAGTTGAAGAAGCTACAGCTAGGACCTCTTCTGAACATGGAGCTGGCTGTGAGTTAACTCTTGTTTTCGTTCATGTTCATTCGTAAGGTGAATATTCTCATATGATATTCAATTGATGGTGATCATTATCGAATTGTCGTACCATTCATCAGGAAAATGAACACGCTTGACGCAAATCTACAATCATTCACAAATGCTGTTGGTCAACTCGGTTCATCCGTCGCCATATCATCCTCGGCAGATGAACTACGCGATTGTCTCCAGAGGCTCCTTCGTTCTTTTCATTCTAACGCGGCCCATCTCTTCGAGGGCGGAGAGAAGGAACTGGCTAGCATACCAAAACCTAGGCGCCCAGCTTCTCGCTACCATACACGCACTATACGCTCCGCCTTGGTTCAGGTGGACTCCCCAGCTACCATCCCGGAGCAAATGGCTTCGTTGGCCCATAGCCTAACTACATTTGTTGGATGTCTGAATCAAATCCCGGAGTTCACTGACCAAGCCGTCAATGCTTCCACGACACTTTTCCACGATAACCTGATGTACTGGAGCTCATGTTTGAAGGGCCATCGGGCTGGTGGTAGGTTGGGTTTGATGTCCGTTCCCAGCGATTCACTCAACAGCATCGAACAGACCAGTTTAAACGATCATATATAAGGCAATACCTCAATGATCTCGCTACCGAGATAGGCGAGCACTGCGAGAGCATGTCACATTCCCTCCATGTATTTGTTGACATTGGTGAAGTGATCCACTTTCGAGAACAAGAGCCTATCTGATGTGTAACAGGGATACCCACTATAAAATTCGGCCAAACACAAACGACTAAAACCCTTCAAAATCTTTCCACTGTGGCGGCCCTGTTCGCTGTGGTTGATGCTACAGCAATTCAGTTCTCGTATCAGAGCTTCGGCACCAAGGCACAAAATGCTGTGAATCTGTTATGGATTATGTCTCTGGTCTTCTCTCTAGCTAGTGCCATCAATAGCCAGCTGGCATATCACTGGCAGTAAGTGATTCCTAGTTTGCTTGAGTCCATCCACGCAATTTACCGATCCCCGCATGCATGCCTACCATGGTTGATCTCCATATGGATCGTGCACTCACCTCTCATGTTCCTCGTTGCTTCTGTTCTTGCTTTCTCCGCTGGATTGGTCTGTTTCACGTTCTCGAATTTCCACCATTACCCAATGATTCCCATCCTCACCACGGTTTGCACGTCTATCTCCTCGTTTGCCGTTCTTTCAGTTGGGTTGTGGTTTTCCGGAGAACGGTGTGCATTTAAGCGAACTAACAGAAAAAAGACAAGGCTAAATATTGTGGGTGGATCGCGGAACTCTAATCCCCTTCTGCAGTGGCTCATTCAGGTAGTGCCAGCTGCGGTGGAAAACGTTAAGAGTTACTCCGGGTATCGAGCAGCTATCACATATCTCTGAAATTTGGGTGTGTTATTGCGGCCGACCCTCGACCGTGCCAAGCGACAGATCTCAAGAGTTACTCAATCCATGGGCGTCCCCAGACTGGATACACTTTTAGTTGCTGTATATTGACAAGGTAGAAGTAAAGGCTGGTCCACCTTTTACAGCTACCCCAAGGGTTTATATACATTCTAATTCATTCTAATTCATTCTCAGCACAAATAAATAGAGAAGCTTCTGTGACACTAAATTAGCATCATGACATAATTATCAGACAACACAACATCAATTGATGTTGTGAGCAGAATATAGACATGGGCCAGGGCCTCACAGGAGCCCTGAAGGCCTCCGGACAGCTCTGATGTCCGCTAGTGTCAGAGATCTGGATTGCTGTCGGAGTCGGAATACTTGGGTTTCTGTCTGAGTCGGGATCAGAGATTGTGGCAGAGGTCTGTTGGAGTGCGCGCGCGCGGATATGCGGGCAGAAATATGCGGTGCGTCCGGAAGTGCTGTTCAAGGTTAACAGAGTGGGATCACGGCCTCAGCGACTCAGGTGGAGCACTGTGCCCTGAGCTTGACGTTTGGGGGAGATCCCGTATTTACAAACTGACACTTATAGCGGACTTCAAACAAGACTTGCAGGCGGAGCGGACCTGTAGGAGGAGCGCGGACTCCGCGAACACGGACTCAGAGGGAGGAAAGCCCCTTTGCAGAAGGAGAGACTCAGACCAGACAGGGGGGGTACTCTAGTTGATTTCAGACTGAGGTCCCCAAAAGTATTTACAAGGTATATAAATAGGCAAGAGGGAATATAGAAAGGCCGGTCAGTCCGGCGCGGTCCGGCGCGGAGATAAGTGGGGATTGTCAAACTAAATAAGGACAAGAGCCCGTGAACTGGAAACGAGGAACAGATCACTAAACAATAAGTGGCAAGGGCTATTGATGAATAACTGAATGAGATCAATAACCTAGTGCCAATAAAGAGGGGATCAAATGCCGATATTGGCAGGGAAGCAAACAATAAATGGCACTCGGCAAGGAATGAATGATAAGCTGCCAAGTGACAAATGGCCAGAGGGAAAGCGGAGGTCAGCGCGCAGCGCTGATACAAGTCCGCAAATAAGCGGGGTCGGTGCGGTGCCGACACAAGTCCGCAAACAGAGGTTGATCTGCCAGCACTGTCACACAAGGACAGCATGAAGGCCAACAGAGGTACAGAGGTGGGCAGAGGGTGTGGAGTGGGCAGAGGGTGCGGAGTGGGCAGAGGGTGCGGAATGCACGGAAGTGGGGCATGGCTGTGACCACATAGTGGGGAGCGATGAGTGTGGTTCAGATGGAGACAAGGCAGGCGTGACTGAATGCTGGGAGCGCCAAGGGCTCAGGAACTGGAGGTAAGGTCGGAATACCGGCAGGGTCTAGGTTCTGATTCTTGGCCAAGTCTCACGCAGTAAGGCAGGGGGCCAGACATGGGGTAGGGGGCTGGTTAGGATGGGTTTCGGGTCGGCGGATTCGCCTATCGGCATTGGTTCGCTGCTGACGGAGCCCGGGATTTGTCGGTCATGACAGCTAGCACACTCCTGCCTCTGCTGGGCAATTTAGTTGCTTGCCCTGCAAGCCCACCTTCGGGCCAATCCCTCCTTTCCACCTGTGGGTTATAGCCTGTCATTCCGCTAAACCTGTTAGAACGAGGCGGAAACGGACGACTCCGGAGTGGAATCGGAGACTTAGCGTGGAGGGACCTTGGCCTCAGCGACTCAAGCGGAGCGCTGTGCCATTGCTGTTTGTCCATTTGGTCCTTAATTTCACAGTAGGTGAGCAGGAAGTCTCTAGGGGGCATTTCAGGTCGATTTCGGACTGAAACCAGACGAGTATGTACAAGCGCCGATATATATAAAGAAGGGGCAAAAGCACAAGGAGAACAAAGGGTGACCAAATCGGAACGAAGACGTCCGAACAGGAACAAAGGGTAGAGGGAACAGAGTGGTACCGAAGGTCATAGGGCAAGACCTGTGATACATCCGAAAGGAGGTAGAGAGGGCGAGGCCCAGAGGGGCAGGAGGATGAGGGGAAGTGGGGGTGATGACTAACTGGCTAGAATAGAAAGAAGCAGTCGTCCAAATAGGGATGAGGGGAAATTGCGAGAAATACATTACAAACAGCGAGAGTGCCGGAGGCGGTCCGCGAAGCTCGGGGGTTGCAGAGCTTACGGAGCTTACGGAGGCGGGGTTGGAAGTCCAAGGAATATTGGCAATGGTGTTTACGTAGTATGAGGTCACCAATGCAATGGACTAAGACCGAGGTGGAGTCAAAGTCCGAGGTAGGGACTATGATGGAGGCTCGGAGTAAGGTACGAACGGTGTCCGAGTACGAAGTACGGAACAGCGGTGGACGGTCGTAACTTGGCGGAAGGGTGGTGGAGGAGTAACAGAAGGAGGAGAGAGGGGACAGGTAAGGAAGAGGGAGTGGCGGAAAGGAGAGTAGTCAGGTCCGAAGGTGAGTATCGGAACGGATGGGGGAAGTGTAGGGGGATGACGGGAGGGTGGAGGTGTTGTGAGGGAGGAGCGGAGTTGTATGAAGGGTGGCGAGTGGGGCGATGTTCGGTCCGAGATGAGTATCGGAGCAGACAGAGAAAGGGCCGGAGAGGTAAGAGGAGGGGTGTGTTGCCAAGACCGAAGGTGAGTATCGGAACGGCAGCGGTAGGTTATGACTCCGGAGGTGAAGAGGGTGGAGGTCTGGAAGTCGGGTCGGGGTCGGGTATGCACGGATATGACAAAACCTGTAACCTGACTTGTCAGTAATATTCAGTCGGCTAACATGTAACTCCGTTAGCTCCACTCCTGTTAGATTGTGTGGATTCGGATGACTCCGGAGTGGAATCAGAGACTTAGCGTGGAAGGACCTTGGCCTCAGCAACTCATGCAGAGCGCTGTGCCATTGCTGGTTGTCCTAGGGGTCCCTAATTTCGGATTTAGCAGAGGGAAAGTCTCTTGGGGGGAAATCAAGTCGATTTCGGACTGAGGTTACAAGTTACTATGTACATTGTATATAAGGAGGGGTCCGGAATCAAAAGGAGTGAGGGTACTCTGAAAGGAGACAAAGGGAGCTGAAAGGAGGGACAACACCAAGGGTCAAGGGTTTGACTCAATGGTGTTTCCCAAAGGAGGAGTGAAGGGCCAAGTGTCAGGGACCGACCCGGGGTCGAGAGCGCCCGGGTGTATCGCCCAAGGCTGAGGGTCCAGTAGGTATGACGCAGGCGCGCGTAACAATGGGCCCGAAGCAGACAAGGGTCCTTGGCCACTGAGACTAAAGTGGGAAATGTGTTATTGTCATTATCAAGGGAAGTGTAAGCTACTTGCCTAAAGTGGGAAATGTGAGAAGAAGGTTGCTTCTCAGTTCCCACTTAGGCTGTGTTTATATACATGTGGTTGAAGGCCACGTGGGAAGCGCCATGTCATCCAAGCACACAGCCACTTCCGTCCGGGTACCTCCGTAAGAGGTCCTAGGAGCGTCCGGTATGCGGGGGGTTGTCCGGTGTGTCCGGGTTCGGGCGCGTTACACTGCAGCCGGGTCAATGGTACATTGATACAAAGGAAGTCGTCCATGTGATAAGAAAGGAATAAAGAGGAGAGAGAATAGAAAAGAAGGAGAAGAAGAAAGGGAAGGGAAAAAAGGGGAAGAGGGGGGAGGTCGGGAGGAGTGGATGGTGGGGCACCGGGTTAGGTGGGGCCGGGTCAGGCGGGTGTGCCCTGACACCAAGGCCCAAGGAGGAAGGAAGGAGGATGGGAGTGGGGAATGGCCAGCTGACTGAATAGAAAGGAAGCAGCAGCCCAAATAGGAATGAGGGAGTAGCGGAGCTGAATGGAGCAATGCAATAGTTGCAAGGTCCAATGTAAGTCCGGAAAGTCCGAACTCGGAAGTTAAACTCCGGAATATTGGCAAACGCAATTAAATGGAATGAGCTAACCAATACAATGGGTATAAGCGGAGGTGGGGTCAAAGTCTGAGGTCGGAGCTAAGACTGGAGGTTCCGGAGACAGAGACACAAACAGGATTCCGGAGCAGAGGCCTGGAGTCAGGGGCATAGGTGTTGCATACTCATCTGGAAGGTGTCAAGGTTGGGGTCGGACCCGGAATGTTCCAGAGTCGGACTGAAGGGTGTGTCAGAGCCGGAGGTGGGATAGCCTCTTGGGAGTTGGCAAGGAGAAGGTGATGGAAGGGAAGTAGGACTCCGGAAGTCAGTTTCGGAGTTCCGGGAGCCCAGAGCGGAGGTCAGGATTGTATGGATATGACAGCTCCGCTTGGTCCTGCTATTCATGGGCCCACCCCCTATGTAACTATATATACATAACTTGTAGATAGGC